TGTGTCCCAGATGCCTGCAGCTGTTCTTTCCCACCCAGAGCCTTGAAATGAAAGTCAAGACACACCCCTGGGCACAGAAGAGCCGCTTGAGCCAACAGCTTGGAATGGGAGAAGGAAACTGTGTAACGGCTTTCTTTACCACACATCCAAGCTGGCGTGTAGATCCACCCCAGAACTTCTCAGCTGAGGAAGTCTGGGTTCTAGAACTTCCAGGCTGCTGGCCAGCCCTCCCTACACCCGTGCTGGACTCTGCTTTTCCTGCGTGCTCCTGGAACAGCTGAGGATAGGGCTCTGTCTGTAATTCTTTCCTCCCAAAGACATCTGGAGTCCCAGCACGCCTGCCCTCCCTTCCATGGGTCTGTGTGGGGTTCAGTGTTAGAGGGCTGGGCTCTCTCACATTCTCCAGAAGTGCTTTCTCTGCCCTTGTTGCTTGACTGAGCTGCGGTTTTGGGGGAAAGTCGAGCCTTCTGACGTCTAGGCAGACACAGCAGTTCTCCGGGTGAGCCTGAGCACTGCTGTGCTGCCAGCGGAACCCGCCGCGCACACCTCTCTCGGATCCCAAAGTTACTGCAAATTAGAAGGCACGACTTTCTTTCCAACACACGGGGAAGTCAGCTGCCAGTCTAACAAGAGCGGGGAGAATAGAGTTCCCACTTAATTACAGGAGGGGATGGCTCTGTGTGCAGCCGATGCGGCTCCGTGAGCTGATCATTGCAGCAGGGGCCGCCACAAGTTTTTCCAGGTGGTGTTCACAGAGGAAGCCCGCACCAGTCCTGGGCACTGCGCATACCTGTTATCTGCCGACCCAGGCTCGGACCCCACCGGCCCCAGCACCCTCCCATTAGGGTGTCCGGCCGAAGGTGCCTTACCTTCCTTGGCTTCTGGCTCTTGCCTACTCACCCTCTAAGAGACACGAGGGTCCCACCTAGCAGGGTTGTCTCCACTTCATCCAACTCGGATTCTCTAGTCCCTCTGCACCGTGCCCAGTCTCAGGTGACAGCCCTGGAAGCTCAGGGGTCGGTGTACAGTGGTCCTACCCCACCTCCTGCCTTTGACCACAGTCTCCGGACAGGGCTGCCGGCCCCTTTCCAGGCCTTCAACACCCCGCTTTGCCGATGGCACTTGATCTCGGCTCCCACCAGCCATTAGGACTCCCCTAGATTCCTGCAGTGGGTAGGTTCCTTTTCCTCTTTCTGGGGGCAGCCCATCACTACACCACTACACCCCTTGTCCCAACACAGGGATCTTAGACTTTCCATCTCAGAAAGGCCCAGAAGTGATCTGTTGGGCCAGTGCCCGCTCAGTGCTGGACTGCAGGAAGCCCCATCTCCATCCAGACAGGAAGTGGCTCATCTTCTGACTGCATACCTCATGGTGATGTGTGTGTGTGCGTGGTGTGTGTGTGTGTGTGTGTGTGTATGGTTTGTGTGTGTGTGTATGGTGTGTGTGTGTATGTG